CCGGGAGCCCCTGTGGCTTTCCACATTGACATGAACTCTCCAGGCGCGGCTTCTGACTTCTATGGGCTATGCCGCTATGCCCGACTTCAAACAAAGCCAAAGGTCGGACGTAGTCCAGAATGGTCCGCCCCAAGGCATCGATGGGCTCGGAGGCTGGGAAAAGGCTCTGCAGCAGATCCTCAGCTCAAGCATCCGAAGATCTTTTGATCAGACAGGATCCTCAGGGCACGAGGAATCTACGGAAAGGAGTTCAGTAAATCCCAAGAGGTTCCAGGCCCGGCCGTATTGGCATTGGGATCCGGGATTCGCCATCATCTATCCAAGGCTCTGAATCCCCCATCCAGACAGCGAGCTGCACGGCGTTCCGACCTTTCCTTTGCTGGCACATGAACAACGGTGCACGCTAGGGCGTTCAGAGGTTGAGGGCCCGAAGATCCTGCTCAGGAACACTGCGGAGCCTTAGAAAGGTTCTGATGAGTCACGCATGCGTCCACTGATGCCTGTCGAAGCCAGTAAGGCGAAACACGGAGAGCTTTGACCTCTGGGAGGACCTGCCGCAAGCAGCAGAGCAGCGAGAGCATGGCAGAAAGAGACATGAATGATTCGAGTTCCTACAGAGCACGATACTGGACTTGATTCGTCGCCGACACACCCCATGCACAGGGACCTTTGTTCCCTCACGAGGTCCTTCGAGTAGATGATGTCTGCGTCCTCCTGCGATCCATTCAAGAGCAGCATGATGCATGCATATGCGTGCTTCCAGGCAATCTTTCTTGTCAAAACAGAAACCCATGCACATGAGGACCGGGTTTGATGTGAGTTTCCAGATTCAAAGCAGCAGCCTGGCCTCAGTGAAGGGCTTGGTTGGCTCGAAGGGGAGCCGCTTCGCCAAGTAGCGGCAGCTTCGGGGCAGGCCAGACAAGATGCCTTTCGACTTCAGCAGCTGCCGCTTTTGTGGGGAGAGATTAAAACATAACTTCTCAAGGGACTAATATCGCAGTGGCTCTGCAGAATCGTTACATGTGGTGTGCGGGATCTTGCAGTAGAAGACATCTACTTCACAGCCGAGAGCCGCTGAAGCTCTACAGGCACCATGCAGGGCAGTCATGGGCAGTCCGCAGTGTCTTGATGCAACTCAGCCACACTGGAACATCATGCGATTTGCGTCCTTCACCGTGACCGCTCCTCCCACGCGACTCAGGGCGGCAGCTAGGAAAGTAGAAGCCCAAAGTCCGAGGACCGGGTATGAGTTATGTCTGTTCCTCTGCGTCAAGGCCCTATGCTGACATGTGGTTGCCTGATTTGGTCTTCTATCAACGCATCTCCTGCCTCTAGAATGCCTTATGGAAAGGCTTTCGGCAGTGAGAAGTCGTCGGTAGCAATGATAGAACCTGGTGGAATACACGAGTCCCTCTCCGCTTCCTGGCCACAGCCAGTACACCCACTGCGGCAGGGGTTTAAGGTTTGCAGGTGTGGGTTGGCCACGAGTCTCCTGGCAGGTTCTCTTTCTCCAAGCACTTCACAATCAGATCATCCAGCATTTTCCGAACCGAAGATAGAGTCAGCAGATTCGCCTCGACACTTGAAGACCAAGAGCCCTACAGCGGTGGAATCATGACCCCACAGAATCGGACCTGAATGCTGCACGCCCAAAGAGATTTTGTGGAGACCCAGCAACTACAACCAAGCCGAGATTCCGTGCGGAGCTTGCGCTCATCTGGCCCCATTGCCTGCACAAGGGATCCCGCAGCTCGGCCCGACGAAGCAAGGCAATACATCTTGAGTGGCACAGCAACAGCATTCGACAGATAAATCCCGGATAAATCTCCCCATCGCCGCCCTCTGAATTGAAACTCGGGCCCGCTAGCCAACCGCGCAAGTTCGAACATATGACGGAAGGTGAAGGGCGGCCTGCCTACGAACTCCATATTTCAAGGCCACTCGACACAAACTTGGTCAGAGGCGGGCTCGGCCTTCACCTTGCAGCGCCCCACAGCAGCATCCCAGAAACTGCCTTTCCTGGGCTGTTCCAAGCAGCGATTTCTTGGCGGTAGAAGATGCTCGAATCTGTCCGAGACTCACAGGATAATCCTTTGGCTGGCCTGCCGCATACGCCTGTGTGGAGAGTGTACGGACAGAGCTCGGATAAGAACAGAAAGCAAGCGCGACGACGTTCCGAAAGCGGGCCAAGCCACGAAGGGATCGCCCCAAGTCCAGGGGTTGCCTGCATCCGTCCCTCCTCATTATGAGAGGAAGCTTAGATGGCTGGAGAGTGCCGGGTGTCAGAGAGAGAGAGAGAGAGACAGAGAGTGAGAGGAGAGTGAGAGTGAGCGTGAGAGTTAGAGCGAGAGTGTGTCTGGGTGTGCTCCTGAAGGATCTGCTTCTTGCCAGGTGCCTCTCATGGATGTGGATGGCGGGAGCGTGGGCTGCTCGGGCAGCGGTGCTGATGAGACCGAATGCCCGCAGCAGGAGTCGTAGCCGAACTTCTCGAAAAGGGCTCCGTCGAGCTCGACGACCAGCCTCGCCTAATACACAAGCGATCACAAAAAGAATTTAAAAAAATGTAAAACAAATTGGCATCCTGCACGGATCTCCACATTTCCAATACCACCGGGTTGGCCGGGCGGCGGTCGCTTCGTCGAAAAAAGTCTCGCAGCCACCATGCTTGGACCCGCCATGCCCGCCGCTCGATGTACCCGATTGCATAAAAGACCGCACTTTTGACCATTCCACCTGCGGGGCTGGGGCTTCCTGAGAGCTCTGGTCAGAAGCCTTCATTGAGCATATGTCCGGGTCCGGGCCTGCCCCCCCAAGCTTTCGAAGTCTTTCAGGCCTTACGCTGGAAGCCGCTTGGAAATCATGTCTCAACCGGAACCTCCAAAGTCTCTGAGCTCCGAACATCCTGCGATATCGGCATCCAAGGATTCCGTGTGCATCCAGCAGTCAGCCAGCTCAGAAATGCTCGCGCTGCGTATCGCCTGGACGGTTTGAGCAGCCGTTTCCTGTGCCATGCCTCGTACCAGGAAAGCATTGTCGCGGATGTCCATGTCAGGATCTTGGGATAGGTACTTGCCGTGGAAGCGCCCACTGAGCAGTCCCAGCTTGACATGCTGGTGACCCATGAACTTGATCCAGGCGCGAAATCGCTGCACATCCTCTGGGCCGGTGAAGCCGTTCTGCGAATCGCGTCCTACCAGTCGCTGGTGCGCCTCGGGGTCGCGCCGGCGTAGGTCCGCCATGACCCCTGCTCTTCTGTTGGCTTCAGACTGAAAGGCCCACAAGCTGAGATAAGACTCGCACGGGTTGCGCACAGATGCAAGCAAAAACTCGTCCTTTGCAACGCCAACGGCCCTCACTGCCTTGGCCTCGGGGATAACATTTAGCCTGTGTGCGGGCATGACTTTAAAGAGATGAGAGATGGCATATCGGCTCCCGGTTTTCGGGAACCTTGCGTAAGCAAGTCGCGACTTGCTACCCCTGCTGGGTTTCGCCGGTGCCGGCGCTGCTGGCACTGGCACGGCCGGCGCTGCTGGCGCTGCTGGCGCTGCTGGCACTGCTGGCACTGGCACGGCCGGCGCTGCCGGCGCTGGCGCCGCTGGCGCTGCAGTCTGGGGAGGACTGCTGGCTAAGTCTTCGCTTGGCTCGGGTGCAGCTTGCAAGCCGTTCTTGGTGTCGTTTGAGCGCACGGACGTGCGAGCAGAATCAGACTCCGCCGAGCTTTGCGGCGGATTTGGGGAGGCGACGCCCACACCGTCGGTCTGCACCAGCGGAATAAAAATGTCTCTCGAAGCTCCAGTAACGACGGATATGGGGCCGCCCTGCGTGTAGAGCAGAAACACCAGCCACATTGCAACGAAGAAGGTGCCAGTAAAGGCCCGGGCCATGTGGGTCAACATGCCCGTGACTCCGCGAGGAAAGAATGACAATAGACCTACTTTGAGAATCCCAAGGCTTGCAGTCTACTTCCGACATCTTGGGTCTCCCTAACATCCGCTGTGTCTGCCTATCTCTTCCGCAGATGGCTGCCTTTCACAGGTACAGAGAGCTTGGGGCCTGAGCAAGCAGTCACAGGACCCGATTGGGACAGCTAGCAGGGCTCCCGACTCGTCCGGCGCTCAAAATTCAGTCGCTTGAAACCTCGCAAAGAATTTCGCACGCATGCGCCGATTGGGTAAAGCCAAGAACCCTGCCTTCTCGCACCCCGAAACTCGGGAAGTGTTGCCCGAGAGCTGTGAGCCCAACGGCAACAGATATAGCGAAAGGGACGTCTACGTGGTCATGCCCGTCATCTGCACTGGTCAATTGGAGACTACGGTGCTGCGGCGCAGGACGGAGATGGGTCTGAAATAGTTTGAGAGATTATGGTTCAGGACAAACCGTCAAGATGCTGGGAATCGAGACCTCTGCATACATGATGACAGATGTGCGCCCAATGGAAGCCGGCGAAGCACGAGAATTCCCAGCCCAAGTCCCAACCCCAGGTGCAAGCCCCGGGCCCCGTCAGCTGAGCCTGGAACGGCTTCGTCGGGTTTTAGGGAGAGGTCAAGGGCGCGCAGTTATGGTACAAGCTCGATAAGATATATAACCCGGTTACATTCAGGAATATACCAGCTCGATACGGTAACACGGCCCTGCCAGACCAGGGCTACACAGACAAAGGGGCGGTCAACACAAGCACCACTGACACAGGTGAACTTCACGCGGCAGTCAAAGCTGTTCACTTGGTAGTTGTGAGTGTTCTGTCGCTGCTTCTGCTGGAAGCCGCAGCATGCGACATTGTCGCAACTTGTCGTTGCAGCCCCTGTGTTTCCTTTCCCTCCTGCTTCTCTGACTAAGCATTTTGGGGAGCTATCTGGCTTGAGCATTCCTACCGGGCCATACCAGCGCAAGCCTTGCACAACTACCTGCCTCGTGGCCAAAAGCCGCCCAATGCTTTGATGGGATGCTTCAACAAGATACACCCGGCTATGCCCTCATCGGCACCATTCTGGCCTCCAGGTTCACAGGAAGGCTGCCGACACCAGCTGTGGTGTCCACGCGGCCAAATACGCCTTCTGCTGGGGCACTCGACATGTTCGGGTCTGGACAGGGTTCGACGCGCTCCAGCCACGGAGAAGAAAAATGGCAACCGCTTCACCCATGCGCAGCTCGCCTGCGGCTATCGTGATGTCCACCGGCTTGCCCTTGCACTTCTGCATGTCGGCACCTGATTGCCAAGCAGGATAGCTACGATGAAAGTCCGGAACCAGCCAAAAAAGCCTGATTGGTGCAAAAGGGCTCCAGGTTGTCAAACCCTGGCTGGTCCCTGCTTGAGGCACCCAGTGAGAGGCAGAGGTAGTCCGTAGGCACATCCCCGACGATGGTGACCTTGATAGTCTCAATACATCTTCCGTGCAAAGCTGGGCCCAAGGCAGCCTGCAGCTGGCTCCCATCAATGAGGACTCGAGCCGTGTCGGTCACCTCAGGGAACTTCCGGTGAAGAAATCGCTTCGACTCCGGCCGGCACTGCTGACGAGGGGCGTCGTAGTTCTGCGAGGCTTCCCCGAGGGGCGTGAGCACGATGTTGCCAGTGCCCCGCAAAATCTGCTCGGCGAAGGTCAGGACGATGTCGGTATCTGGGAGTTGAGGCATTCGCAACGTATGTAAATCAGAGTGACTGCTGCCGCTGCAAGGCACGCAGCCAGAACTCACCAGTCCCAGTGGCTGATGGGAACACCGTAGGTTCCGATCGCAGGGGAGTAAGATGTGATGCCTCGGCGCGAGATGCTGCAGCTCCCAGAGAAGCGGCGGGTCAAACTTTGGACCAAAACTCACAGCCAAGGCTCAGGATGTCCACCAATCCTGCAGCTCTAGGTCCCAACTGTTGACTCATGTGGCTCCTATCGGCTACTGGCTTAAGATCTTTCAGTGGAAGAACTTTCTGATGACCGAATGCTGCTTGTTCTGTCCCTCTCTCCGTGGACTTGGGCGTTGGGGGGTCAATGACTAGGCTGCTAGATCGATCTTTGTTGGCTCATGCAACTGCAGCTAAACATGTCTCACTGCCTGATACAGGCCGCTTGGGCTTCAGCAGACCATCCGCGCTCCCCACGGCACCAGTTTCTGATTGCAGCACAGTGTCGTAATTGCTGGAGCTCGGCAGAGCAGCTGCGTAGTTTAGGTTCACCGAGGTGTCCGTAAAACACTTTGCAGCAAAGACGACCTGGTACCTGACTCCATTCGTGAGGTCGAAACAGCAACATGCAAGAGCGGGTTCTGCCAGTCGCCTTTTGTGCCGGGTCACTGGCTGCAGGGCAGGATAGGGAAGGCAGTTGTGTCGATGGTGATGGTTGCCGAAGCGCCTGCGATGTGCCAGTCCTAACCCCATTCCTGCATCATCCATGATCTAGATATAGCCTGCCACAGACGACGACCAGAACTCAATGGAGCGGGCCATCTGGCATCTAAGACCCTGCGACATACCTCCAGGCGCACCTGACACGGTGATCTGCGCGTCGCTGCACTTCGGGGCCACCGAGAACGGCGTCTGACGCTGGTAGGGATCCTCCCGACAACTTCCGAGTGCTTGAGACATCCCCGGAAAAAATAAAAAGACGCCCGGCAAGACAACACCCTGAGCTTGGCATTTTTGTGCGGCGGTCCTGGATGCCCCAGGTCGGTGCAGTGCCCGACACATCCTCAGCCAACAAGCAGTCTCAAGGTTTCCTTGTGAGGGCATTGCTGGAGTGCCGCGGGTTCTGCCCAGGGAGCCGCAAAACCCACGCGGCTCTCTCATGACGCCAGGGTACGGGGTTTGCCTGGATATCTTCGGAGAAGGTGAAGACCTTGGATGCAGCTTCCTGTTGAACTCAGCAACACCGCAACAGAGCAGGGATTGCACAAGGGCGGCTTCACGGAGAACTCTGCATTCTTGGCCTCATTCTGATGGCTTCCACTTTGGCCCAGGGACGATGGTTGTTGTTACTGGCACGTTGGGCGACTCATCCGCCGGCGACATGCTCAGCAGCGTTGGAGCTGTGAAGTCGCCTCCGAGAGCTGCTGCAGTTGAATTTTCACGCACAGAAAAAGGAAGGGTGTCCGAATTCCGAATGGTCATGATTTTGATGATAGCAGATTCGGATAGCAGGACAAGAGGATCTCGCACGGTATGTGTTGGCCTGTGGTGAACTGGATGGAAAAGGCTGCGTTCGTGTCCGTCATGGCCAAGTTCTGGATGATGCCCGCATCGAAGGAAAGGGTGTACACTGTTTCCTGCCAACGATAACATCAAAACCAAGAACAAGGTTCAGCCGTGAAAGCCACACAAGCCGTGCAGCCAGAGCCTCCGCGAATACGATTTGCCGGCCACCCGCACTCGAGGCATCGTTCAGAAGAAGAGACTGGCCGCTGATGACTACCTGGGTGAGTCGCCGCCCCGAGCAGCATGCGCAAACGACGGTACATCGCTGGCACGGGTGTATGCAAAATTTATGGCACCAAGATACATCGCTGCTTGGCACAGATATCGTAGTCGCGGAAGCACTTGATGCACCAATCCCGGAGATTGCAGGCTGTATCGTTATGTAGCCGAAGCTGGCTTGGATGTTCTCCTTGGCTTGAGCAGTCTGAAACACCAAGCTGTCTGTAGCTACAACTACTGTAATGACTATGCACTTGAAGGGACCTTCGCAATCAACTGTTGCCTGCCCAAGCGTCTGCGAACTCGATCTCCACAATGGAGTTGGTCCGGACATTCTGGTTGTTGTTCGTCCACGCTTGCGAGTCCTGATGAATGCATGCGCTGCAAGTTCGGAGGCACGCAAGCACCACAGCAGTCCTGCACGTCCGAACCATCTGGCCAGCTGACGTCCTGATCATGGATTGTGGAATCACGACACTTTAGACACATCTTGGCAGGCACTGGTCAAGCTGGGCTAGGCTTCCACCGGATTCAATGCAGATACAAGTAGCAAAGTGTCCTGGAGGTGCGTAAGCGAAACCGTCCTCAGAAAAGCTCAGGGCTTCAGTCCCACCTACTTCGAATGGCAGCAACCCTGCACACACGAAGGCTTCGCAGGCTTATCCCATGCGCCCGAGCCGCTGAGTTTTCAAGAATTGCTGCTGCACGTCGCCATTTGCTAGCCCCAACCACAGGGCAAGGAGCCTGAGACACACGCGGCCACCGAGGCATGACACACGCAAAAAAATTAAGACAATCAACGTGGTAATGTGGAGTCCCTAAACGCTCGCAGTTCAACCCAACTCTGCACCTCGACCACGCGATGGACCCTCTCGTGCCCGGCGCCATTCGGGCGCCGAACCCGACGGCCTGATAGGCATCGCAACGTCTCAACAAATCGCGAGGCAGCGGCGGGAGATTTCAGCTGGTACCAGTTGAACTGCAGGAAGCATCCAGACCACTTCAGCGAAGCCTACTGATTTAGACACATGGCCGGCCTCACAGCACCCGGGCTTCCATCAGGACGAACACAGAACAAATCGATCTAGGTCAATGCGTGGGCATGTATCACTGTGCCTTCGCTTAACTTGAAGCTGGACTCCACCCGGTCTCTCTTGAGCTTGCAAGGTTCACTCGACATGCGCGTGCCCCGAACTGTGGCCAAGAACACC